TCGTTTTAAGTACAAACTTATATTCGCTCTCTTTGTCAGACACAATCTATGTGTGACAAAGAGAGCGAATATAAGTCCGTGCTTAAGACGATTTTGAATATAAGAACGGACTATGAATACCGCCCTAAGAAGTAGAATTTAAAAAAGTTTTAACATTTTCAGAAGATTTTCAAGATTTTATATAATAACAATAACTATTTTTGGCAAGAAATTATCTTTCCATTATTATTTTGTAACTTTTGGAACTACTAAACGCACTCATTTGAATACCTGTTAATTTATTGTTGATATTTGGTGTCTTATTTATTAATAAAATAAAAATATGCAAATGAAATAATTAGTGAAGGAAATATTACAGCTTTTTATCATAAAATAATAAAATTAATCTAATTCGTTACTCTAGTTAGTGTCGACGATATTTTTTAGTATTTTAAATAATTTAGATATTGATAAATATCATTAACAAGTGTGTGTGAAATACTTACAATAAATTATAAATCAATTTAATAATCACAAAAATTACAAACAATAATAATTTCCGCGATTTATAAAATTTATTTTAAGTAGGCTTATAATTGATGACAAAATTTAAGATAGTATGTCATTCAATATTTTGTATTCCGTGTGTATAATACAGAAAACATTTAAAAAATTAAAATAGATGTAAAAATATTAATAATATTTAAATTATGTTTTTTATTAAATGTATATTCTGATTTTTCAAACATTTTTTATTATTATACATAATAGATTTCTATCTCGAACTTTGGCGTGAATTGTAGTTCACCTGAAACGGATTTATATCAGCACTATTATTAATATTTTTCACTGCGCGAAAAGAAACTACTCTGCCGGTAAAGCACCAATCCCGATTACTTTAATCTTACACTAAAGATAATATTTTAAAAAGGTCATATTAGAATTACGCAGTAAGTGTTCTGAAAATCTTGAAAATTTCTTAGATTTTTATGTACATGTTAAAATTTCTGAGACGGGTACACTTACGCCACAGTGTAGTCATTGGATTTTTTATGTAGTCGAAAGTTAGTAAACCATAAATACCAATGGTATGCAACACAACAAGTTGCAGAACATTGAACCATAGTATGTCCGTTTCAAAATCCAAAAAACCTGATTTTGCCTTTTCAAATTTCTTATTCGTATCGTCCATTGCCATTGCCAATGATTTTTACAGGAAACATATCGTTGTATAGTACTTTTTCAGTACTTATTTGTTAGAGTTTTGCGATCAATGTAAGTATCTCGTGTATGAAATAAGCAAGCCCTGCCGATTATGCGTTTCAATTATAGATTTATTATAAAAACACAAGTCAACGTTATACATGAGAGAGAGAATGGAAGTGACCACAGAACACACGCAAAAAGAAAAGGAAGTACTATATGTGTGAACCATGTTACAAAAACCAACCTAACTATTAACGATACTACCAACCTCTCAAACTAAAACTTTACCATAGAAATCTAAATAACATAGAGAGGTTACTCATACAAAAATGTCTATAATAATTGCAATATCCAACATTATTTTCGTACTGGTATTGCATGTGAAAACCGACGTATTAAGATCCATTTTGTTGACAATGTAAGGAAATTATGAAACAAATTCAAAATATACGATTGTAGCACTTAATTTGATGCACGGCAAAATGCAATGCGATAACAAACCCATCTTATATTTTTCTAAAATAGAAAGAAAGAAAGGCGCTGTGCATTCTATCTGCAAGAGCTTGTACTTTTAGCATTTAATAAAAAGAAAACTATAAAGAAACTAAACTATTGACATCAGTCCATTCTAAGCAACTAGTCACGTAAATTGGACCACAGGTTTCCTACCTTGGACCGCTCTCAAAAACTAATGACATTAAATTTACAATCTAAGAATTTATTTAAGTATTTATTTAAGTAAAAGAAAATATTTCCTTCTAGATTAACTGAACTAAAAATAACAGTTCATGATTAATTTTCTCTTTTACAATATTTGAAGCTGGATAAAAACACAAAAATAAAAATGTCTTGATTATTAATATTAAAATGATAATTTACGAATACTTATATGTGTGTGAATGCATGTTAGAAGGCGTGATGAGAAAGTGGATGAATAGGAATTGATGACAGTGCCTATTTTTGAAAAGAGACCGATGGAATTTAAAAAACTTACCGCTTGACGTAGTCAGTGGGTGTCATTCCGAAATTTTCAAGATCCCTTATGAGCAATCCGTGATAGTAACTCCGTGTAGAAAATTTCCTAGAGAATTTCGGAGTCTATCTAGAACAGTAAGACGGAAGAGTAAGAGATATATTGTGAGTCTGAAAAACTGTAAACAAATGCGTTGTCGCGGCTGGAGTTCGAGTTTTTATACCAGAATGTTCTTTATTTTGCTATTAACATCTAGTTATAATAATTACTCTATCACTTGAATATGCGTCTATTGTATATGTATATAAAACTGCGTTGTGCATAAAATTGCAATTTTCAGAATTATTTACCTTTTAATTTTGACACATATTAATTTTGACACGCTGTACTAATGTAAAGGCCCTAATTCAAGAAATTCTTTTTTTAATTTTGAATTCTTTGTTTCTTTTATGATATACGTCAGAGACGGAAATTAGTTGCAACTTTCGGCCCGATTTTCTGATTGAGGTGGTTTCCTGCTCCCTCTTTGCCGCTCGCATGCTAGCAATGGGCGCGTTCAGCAGAACAAATCGCTTGGTAGCAATCGAACATGATTGGCTCTTACTTTTAGAACCAACAAATCAACGTTAAGTGTTGACTAGACGACAATTCAGCAGTTGTTCTGCTGAACGCAGCCAATGAGTCGTCAAACGCGCTAACAACGCGCGTAATTAAAGTGCGCGATACTCATTCTCAGGAATGTCCATATCACAAATGCAACAAGATAATAAATATGGGATAAATATAAGTTTCTACCTGTGAGGTACTATTGTTGAAGAACACGTCAATAATAGTCCACCTCACAGGTGATGTGGAAATTTATTGTCCCATATTAATTATCTTGTTGCATTTGTGATATGGACATTCCTGAGGCTGAGTATCACGTATCTTATAGCG